TTAACTCTGGTTCTTTGAACAGCTATGTATCCATGAGGTGGGAGCTTGTCCACAGAAAGCTTTCTTTAAGGCTACTCATTAGCTTAGGTACGATGAAATTTTATCATTCTCAATAAATTTAGCCGCTGATCAAATTTAATCAGTTAATACTGACCATTATGTCAATATATACAATTTGGCTTCAAGGGAAATTTCTGTTGGAGAAGATATTGTGAACTAGACTACGTTTGGCACATGGGGATTAGACCGTACAAAAAATTATGCATGGGATTAGAGGAGATAATATTGAATAGTATTACGGTGGAATAAGGTAGATAGTATGTATTTATTTTATTTTTATTTTTTGTTTAAAAGAATGTTATTTGCATGCACTATGTTACTTATCCGGCCTTGACCTACCTCCTTGCTCAGAATTCTCTTATCCATTTGGCTTAAGAAAGATACTGCAAATAACACCTTTTGAATAAAAAACTAAAAAATGCTATCCACCATACTCCACCCTAATAAAATCTATATGGTATATCTATTCTAATTTTATTTTTAATTCCCAATGCTGTCTAATTTGGTGTACTAAACACATCCTAATTGTATATCCCAGTGTTTACATTATTTGAACCTTTTCTGGCATAATTCTCCAGGTTCTCCATTTTTAGTAAATATTGTATGCAATTTGGTGTAGAACATGTCAAGATTGTTTTCTGAAGATTCTATTTTTCTTGATTGATTGAGAAAAATTTGCCAATGCTGCTGCATTCAAGTTTAAGATAAGATGCCTAAGACAACTGTTCACTGTAGAGTAAATCAAGTTTTTGCTTCACTTATTTTCTGTTCTCATGCACATATATGTATGAACTAGAAGCTATACATAAACATATGCATAGGAATGTGTACGTAGTTGGTATTCTTTTATATGTTTTCGCATTAAATTCTGTTTGCCAAAGCTTCCTGTTAATGGCCATTATCTGTGAATCATGCCATTCCTTTTTTCTAAATATCCTGACCTTATGTATCATGCAGGAAAATATGTAGGCCTATGTGGTGACATACATGATGCACACAAGCTTTTCTTGCTAAGTATATCAGTTCTTTTCAGAAAAACTCCATCATGTTCTAAGTACTCTTCTCCTTCCCTTACTTTGTTGATTGATTCGATTGGAACGGATTTCCCTGGAGATGTGTTAGCTGTTGAGCGTGCTGCTCTGATTTACTATATATGCTGGTTCACTTTGAAAATCTATCCATATCCAGATACCAGGTATATAACAAAAGCATTTTTTTATCTTCATACTATTAATTACATGGATGATTGTTTTAACGTGCCTTATTCTTGGCTGTATGAATAGATTTCCTGTTTTCTGTGCTAGACGATTGTCATAAATCATCTCTTGGAATGGAGAACTCTCGAGTGCTCCATACGAACATTTTACACTTAGAGTCTACATTTGAGTATTTTAAACATGATTTATGTTGTAAGTTCTAAGTTTGTTCTCTGCAGCAAATGTCTAAGACAGCTGAAACTTTAGTTTTGAATGATATTATTTTATCTTGCATTTCTTGAAATATGGTTTGGCAGACAAATTTTGTTCCTGTGATTAGGAGACTTCAATACATTAATTGTTCATGAGGATTGTGTAATATATAATCGGCTAGGTTTAATAGTGGCATTCACTCGAACTATTGTTTCAAGTAATGACTAATAAATGCATCTTCTACTCTAGGGAGCTCTATTTGTTATTTAAATGGGTATATTTATGCATTCCTGAAGTAAAATGTTCTTATGGTTTCTTTTCCCCCTCTAGAAGGGGAAAATTTTGGTTGGTGCTTTACTTGCCCTTCTGTTTGACCAATTTGATACTCTCTTGTTAAGCAGAAAAGTTTGTTATGAGAATTCGTGCATTGGGACATCAAAAATTGTTTCTCTACTGAAGTTGGCCTTTCTACTTTGTCGTGAAGCTCCTTTACTTTTTCAAAAGGTTAGATTTTGCTCTTCATTTTTTTTTTCATTTATGGTTATTGTAATCACCATGTAAGGAGAGAAAACTCTCTCCAGCGTCTTTGTGCCTCATCTTTGCAAATAAATGATGAAAATTTGTTTCAATGTGTACAAGGAGGCATGTGTTAGAGAGCCAATATGAAGATCTCTCTCTGCTTATTTTCTTAAAATTTATAATATTTCTTTCCACAATACACTATTGTAATCGTTCACTGGCATTGAACTCATTCAAAATGGCCGATCCACCCCTTGCGCTAATATCCATTCTGTTTGGTTTCTTTCATGGAAGCTGAATGTAGTGCCTGTCGAAGCTCTAAAGGGACCTACTTTCCAATTATGAGGTTTTGAGGCTATAACACTAGTTTGAACTTGGTCTATGGTTTAATCATCATTTTTTTTTTCTTATTCAATTTGGACACTTCGTTTATTTAAGCAATTAACTATATAATATAGGAAGAATTGTGGCTACGGTCCTAAATCTTTCATTTTTTCGCGTACTTTTACCCAAATCTTTAGTTTTGCCACCTACAGTCCTAAACCCTCGAAATAATAGCACCAAAAGGACAAATGGATGAAAATCCATTTGATTGTTATTTGACTAGAATAATGGACTTTAACGTATTTTGACCAATTTTTGAAAGGGTTAAATGGTAAGTTTATAATTTTTTCACAAAAATAAAATTAATAATTAAATAAAAATAAAAATAAAAACCAAAACCAAAACCAACCTACCCATTTCGTTCTTTCCCACCACATCCCCTGCCACCCATCCATTGGCCGGTCACCATTGCCACCTACCTAAATGTCGGCACCTCCACTGCCTCTATAAACTCCTCATCATCGAGCTCCTCGAGAATGGGTTTATTGGCAACAACAGACTAGCATACTTGCTGCTCTGAGAATATTGTAAGTGGTTTTGGGAAGAATCACTTGCCTCCCTTGTTGCTGCCTGCCACAGTCGTCACCAATGCCTACCACCACAAATCGCCACCCCAAAATTCATATGCAAAGTAACACCACCCACAACCTCGAAATTCATCTCCTTCAATCGCTTATTCATCTCATCCAATTCCTAAAAATCCCCAATCCACTAACCCAACCCACATATATACATCCTAAAGAATTTTCAGGAAATATGGCTTCTTGGAGTCCTCTAAAGTCTATCACGTTGAGTTCCACAAAGTCGTCAAACGTGAAAATTTTGAATCTACAAAGTCCCAAAATTGGGCAAGCAAAATGAGCACGCTGCTTCAGCTTATATAGTGTATGTCGTAAGGTGCTTAGTTTGGGACCTATAGAAATTGTTCAAGTGAAGGGGAATGAGTATGGGGCCCTCTGAGATATTTGGATTCGTGAAATCCTAGAAATTCGGCAAGCAAGAAATGGTCACCCCTGTGCAGCTTATACAAAGTAGGCGAAAATCTTGCTTCTTGAAGTTATAGATATTGATGAA